CAACCACAGCTGTGCATTTTAAACACTACTAGATAAATATAAGTACCATGGCAAACGTATAGAGACAGTTTTATGATAAGGCTTATTTGCTTGCTGTCCTGTTCAATGAAGGCCAATAAATACTGTGTCTTGAAGGGCTGAGTGAAGTAGTCTGTAGCAAAACTTACAGAGCTCTCAACAAAGGGGAGTTTCCATTTTAAAGTACAGTGATGCAACATGACATTGAGAATAACACATAATGGGTGAGTTACACAGCATGGAAGCTTTCACCTGAGTCAGATTTTGCTTCTTTTGAGTACTCCAGTGAGGTGCTGAGTGCCGGGGCATGGACAGTACCAGATGTGGCATGGATATAGCTGCCTGGCAGGGGTCTCCTGGCACTCAGGCTGCCAGGAAGAGCTGTGGAAAGACCACCTTGCATTTGGCTTATGATGTACTCAGTTTCCACTAAGAACCCGGTATTTATGGAAGGTATTGCATTCCACTTCAAACCTAACCGCCATGCTGTTTGTCAGTGGTTGCATCCTAGTGAGCAGGAGAAGAAGGGAAAGAAGCTGCAATCAGCCTCTCAGAAAAATGTGGGAAGTATCTTGCAGGCCCAGAGTCTAAATGTGGAAGGAACCATGATCTCCAAATTTCTGTGAACACAACATAACTAACCTTGATCAAGTGTGTGACATCTCAGCTGTTCTCATGCCTTTTACTGAAATGGGAGAGGAGCTGGGAGGATCTCTTGTCTTTTAAGTTAGAAAAACCCCAAATTAACAGTTGGAGACATTTTCCTCAGACCGTGTCAGTGGCATTCAGAAGTAACTGAATATCCATTTCTTGTTTCTCAGATGATCACTAATCCAAGTCCTTAGTTGCATTCTTTTTGTAAATATTAAGCAAGAGGGCATCATAAAACTGAGATCTTGCTTTGCCAGCAGAATATTTATATGAAGGTTTTCAGTTTCTGGCCATAAATGAGAAGATATAGGAAACAGGAGATTTTGATTAAAACCTCATGAAAGTAATTTAGACTTTTGGACTGTCTGGTTGAAAAGGATAATGTGATGAGATAAATTTTTGTGTTGGGTCAATTGAAGCACTTCTTTCACTGCCAGAATCTTGGGACATGAATCTGGTTTCGGTTCCGTCAGCTTTACCTTAGTGTTGTCCTGTTGACTTGCCTGGCATCGTTTCCGGTTTACATTGTTGTAAGTGAGCTCAAGAATCACTTTCTTTGTCTTCAGGAAACAGAATAGCCATTAAGGGAAACATAGGACTGTACTTATTTAAGTATACAAGAAACATAACAGGCTTGTGCAGGTGTTTCTGAAGAGTTAGCAGAATATTCTTTGTCACGCGCTCAGATGTAATGGCCTTAATCATGGTGTATGGCTCTCCTGCTGCCACAGGACATTTAATATGTTGGAAAAGGTGTCTCTGTTCCCCTGTAAAAGCTGAATGTGCTTTTACAGCCGTTACCCATCATGCAGCAGGAGAACAGTGTTAATAACCATTGCTTCAGGGCTACAGAAAGCTTTCGCATCTCTCCAGGGAAGAGGCAACCTTTTCTTCTGTAACTGGCCAAAGCGTTACCTTTGGAAGCATTCCCTCTTGGGATCCAAATGCTCTCTTTCACTCATAACTTGTGCTACCTAATTGTTCTCCAGGGGAGCAAAAGTAGGTTGGCGAGGTTGGGTTTTGGCTTCTAATTGTTCCTGGCTTTGTTTGAAGGCTACAGGTATGCACAGGACTGAGGCAGGGAAAATGGCACTCATGGTTATTTATTGGGAGCAGTGGGAACTATGAAGTCTCAAGGAAAATCTCAGGAAGGATCATACAGATGCTCCCTAGTACTGAACACAGAGCTGGAAAGTGTTGGGCATGCTCTTCCATTACATGTGGTGCAACTGCTCTGCCCTGAACACTAGAAAAGGCTGCATAAAGGCATCAAATGTTTTGCAGGGCCTACAAAACCTTTGGAAATGATGAGCCTGTGGAAAAAAGTGGGGTTTTGTTATAGAAAATGAAGTGCTCTAATAAAGCGTTTGCACTTTAGTCTGTGTAAGGGCCTAAAGGCCTTAGTCCATGTAGAAAAGCTCAATGTATTTATGCTTTTACCTACCTTGATATTGTTAGCTTGCTCTCCGTTTGTTCAAAGGAAGCAGAGATTCAAAGGTCAGCTGTGAGTGCTTTGGAAAAACCAAGTGGTGACTGTATCTCCCATGAACTGGGAGAAAGGAATCACAGTTCGTGCCATTTTTAGATACTTCCCATATCGTTTTACCATTTCTTTTATTCATTCTTATCCCTTTTCCCTTAAAGAATTGATTTTCTTCTTTAGGAAAAAAGTTAGCTTATGCTTATAAGTTGTATTTTTTTTAAAATGTACTTTGATCTCAGACAAAATTTGATGGAATTACTACTAATAATGCAGCCTGAGCATGTTCTTCAACACTTAACTCAAGGCAGCTTATCTCCCATCGGGAAATGGATTCCCAGTGAGAAATGAAGTTGCCTGGCATGACTAAGAATCAGGTCACTTGCTCTAAATGACTAACTGTGGGGTTTAGAACTTACCTTTTGGATCCAAATTTTGGCCTATAAATGTAGAACAAGTTCTAGATTTAATTAGTCGTAACATCAATTTGAGTATTAATTCTACTACATAAATAGAGTATTAATTCTACTCATGCAACTCTGTTCACATCAGAAGACACTCCTGATTCACAGCAGTACAAAGACTCTGGAGTTCAGTGGTGTTTCTGTACCCTATGTCAGATGTTGAAGATGATGAGGGCTCCGAGCAGTGGACTCACACAGCCACGTACAAGCTTTGGGCTGCCAATGAGCTTGTCCACACAACCCACTAGAAAGTACAGGTATTAATTCAGATGGTTCCCAGCCTAAATCAGTTGACATATTGCTAATCTTTAGGCTTTGGCTCCTATCTGAATAGTCCTCTAAAAGCCTTTTTTTATCGGTTTCCTCTTTTTTCCCCAGTTGTTTCCATGCAGCAGCTATAGCACTGGAAACAGGATTTTTGATTTTTTTTCCTTAGTTATTTCACTGCGTCACTCTTGCCTGTACTTACTGTCTGGAACTAAAACTGCGACTTAGTATGGGCATCTGCAGTTAGGAATTTCTGTAAGTTGTCTAAATTACTGGGACTTGCTCTACAGTTCCCAGTTCATGTCCACCCCAGTGGCCAAACAAGCTTGAGGCTTTGTCTCAGTCTCTTCATCTTCTAGAGGAAGGCACACAGGGACAGGCCAAGGGGAATGGCTTGAACCTGCCCGAGGGGAGACTGAGATGAGCTCTTAGGCAGAAGCTCTTCCCTGTGAGGGTGCTGAGGCGCTGGCACAGGGTGCCCAGAGAAGCTGTGGCTGCCCCATCCCTGTCAGTGTTCAAGGCCAGGTTGGACACAGGGGCTTGGAGCAAGCTGCTCTAGTGCAAGGTGTCCCTGCCCATGGCAGGGGGTTGGAACTGGATGAGCTTTAAGGTCCTTTCCAACCCAAACCATGGTTCTGTGATTCTATGATAACGTGTGAGCTTATCTACCTCTAAAAAACCTGAAACTTCTTACTTATTAGCAATGTATTCTGTCTGCAATTAAAACTGGGTGTCCTGATGTCTTTTGCTGAGGAAATAGAGGAATATATGGAGGAAATGACAAAATATTTCAGCAAGGCCAAAAGTACCCAGCATGTTCTGCGGATCATCTGTGAAGGTTGAACAGCGAGGCTGCATTACACAGCATGCACAGACAGTTCTGTAAACCATGGAACAAACTTACGTCTCCATGTCACAGCCAGGATCACATTCACATTTCAAGGAAACAATAGAAGACTTAATTCAGCTTTCACTATGCTGGAGATTTTCTCCAGCTCTGCCTCTGCCCCTTTCTCTGTCCTCATTCCCAGTGTTTTTGAACTCTGCCTGCAGTGCATTTCAGTGCTTGCCAAGATATCCCCAGCTAAGGGTGAGTTAATAGGAACATCTGGCCAGGATGATGCTCTGTGACCCACCCCCTCAGCACATCTGGTGGTCATGGCCATGGATGGGGAACCTTACCGAGCATAAGGCTTCTGCAAGGAAAGAGGATTTTGTCAGCTAAGGCTGGATTTATTGAAAATACCCAAAACCAATTGGTTATATAAAGGGGCTTCCGTGTCAATACGAGAAATGCTTATAAATAGGTACACACACATATACACTTTTTATATAAGTAGAATATACTGTCAATGAGTAAGAATGTGGACTGCCTAAAAACTGTCTTGATAGGTCCCAAAGGCCCTAAACTGGTTAACCATCAAGGCATGCTGCAAAAGAACTCTCTTTGGTAAGGGCTTTTTGAGGAGGCTGAATGTCCATTCTCTCTAAAGGGAAGAGAGGATGAAAAGGCTTTATATGCTTGGTTGGCAGAGTTTCTTTTTGAAATGATTACTTTTAAACTTCTGGATCGTTTTTTGTCCTTCTAATAATGAATTAAGGTGTCCAGACACTTTTGTGAGCATCTTCCTGTATTATTTATATAGCAATCCATCAATACCAATGCCCTGCTCTTGTTTTCCTTTGCTGGTTAAAAAAAAAAAGATGGATTTTTCAGACAGCACAATGAATCATCAGTGAAGAGAAAACACTGGGCAAAATCTCTTGTTTAAGAATGGCCTGTGCACAGCTCAGGCCAGCACATTTTTCATGGGATGCAAGGGAGCAGTTCAAAGAACTGGCAAGGAGTGTGCCCTGCATATTCATGAGGCTGGGCAAGGAGGTGAAGGTACAGGAGAAGGCAGAAAAGCAATGTGAGGATAGAGTGGAATGTGGAGCGAGTTACCACGGTATCCGATTTTACTGCTGTTTGACGTAAAGCTCCTTTGATTTTACACAACCGCTGGAATTGAATGGAAGCAGTTCAGGGCATAAATAATGAATGTGTCTTTTACATGTTAAGAGAGGAGAATCTGCACCTCATCACAGAGATAACACACCCCTCTCTTCTCCCCCCCTAGTCTCCAGCCTGCGTTCCTGAAGTCAGTCAAGATCTTATCCAACAGACAGAGGAGAAACTCGAAAACAGCCCCTGCAAAGAGCTATTCTCTCACTGTACAAAGTAAGTATAACTCGATACCCAGAGATCTCCGAGCTGCAGCCAGCAGTGTGTAAGGAATGTATCAGGTAAAAGAGAGACATTTCCACTTGAACCTGAAGCAAGCGTCTTCATCTTATGTTCATAATCCTAGAGGCAGAGCTGACAAGCGGTGAAGTCATTTCATCTGAGCAAAATGCAATAAATATTTCCATGCCATTATATACACTACACACAGGCACTTAGTGTTTCAGGTATTTGACGGAGTGTTCTAGCCAAGTAAACCAGCCGTGGATTTCATGCTGTGTGAAAAGAGCTACAATGATAATGCATCCAAAGAAAACATCTCTGTTTCAAAGTGAATAAAAATTAAGTGGCTATACAGCCCATTTAGACAGAGGAATGTGCAAACTTGCTCCGCATGGCTTTTCCAGCAAATCTTCACCAGGAGAACGGGGCTTTTTTGAATGCTTTCTGTCTGCCTGTGGCGTTCAAAACGAGCGTGTATTATTTCATCCTTTGTCTGGGAAAAGGCTTATCAGTTTTTGTAGCAGCGAGGCGATTTGCGCTGTGATGCGCTAAAGCTCCAGGTATGCACTTTGCATTTGCAAACACTGACCCGAGGCTGTTCACGCCGGTAGATCATCAACGAGTGAAAATGTGAAAAGGAGGGATCATGGCACGCTGGCCCGTGTGGTTTCTGGCTGAGCACCGTTTGTTTTCCCTGGATGATGTAATGGGGATTTGTAAAATTCGCTCCACTGTCATTCATTGTTTTGACTCATTTCATTGACCTTTTCTGGTTCCAGTTATGCTTTGCGTTGGTAGATGTGGGTTATTTCTGGCCTTCTCTTCTAACACAGCCAGTTTCCTTGCATTGGCCTGGTGTCGTGTGGAGATGCTCCTGTAACTCGCACCAGTTGTGTGTGCCAGTCCCACTGACAAAGGCAGAGCTGTGCTCAACACAAACCCCCCTGATGCCTGTTTCCAGTTCTCAAATCGGTTTGAAAGCTGACAGTTCCCTCTAAAATGCACTTTGTTGTTGCCAAAGAGGGGAACTAAAAAGCAAACAACTGCTGAAAGGCAGCTATTGTTCTGTGAAATGCGCACAGCTTTTAATTAACTGAATGGAATAGGCTAGCATTGGACACCACTTAATTCAGGCTCGTATTCACCAGCAGCCATTCCTTCGTCTCAGCTCAAACAGATAAATGAGCCAGGTTTGAGACCTTGTTAATAAATATGCTGGGCATTTCACATGGACTGAAATGGGGTCAAAAGGAAGCTTTAAAAACTTGCTGTTGGTATTTACTAAATGTACTGAATAATGTTAATTTTGGAAGAGTTCACGGTCAGACCAAGAAAGGGAGGCATACATACAAATATGAAGCTTGCTATCCTGTAGGAGCAGGAATGGGGAGGAGTTTCAGACACATCTTCATAGATAAGATCAGTCTGCTGGAGATAGGCATGTATGAACTCTGATTTCTGCTTTGACCTTTAATATTTTGGCTCCCTGCTCCTGCCCCTCTCCAATTTCTCATGTTCATGTTATTCATGGTGAATTGTTTGAGGAGGTCTAGAACTACCCCAGGGTAAGACATAATCATCCATTCACAAACCAGACTGCTCCTTCAGAGAGGATTTCCTTCCTCCTCCAGTAAAATCTGGAGCTGTGTCTGTATAGCCTTAGATACAGAGAGAAAAGTGTCTGTATACCCAAAGACAGAAATACACCCAGACCCAAGTTTAGTCCCCACCAATGCTGCCAGCAGAGGTGGAAGCAGTAGCCCCAGTAAACAAGGCAAGAACCCAAACCAGCAGGTGAACAACCCCTTAACTGATGTGACCACCTTCATCTCAGGCAGCTCTCTCAGCTCAACCCATCTTTCCTTAGCTCTGAACCCTTGCCTTTCTTATGGGATGTCTGTTGGTCTCTGGCTGCTTGTTGACTGTCACAAGCAACATACTTCTTTCTCACATTTGCAGGCTGATCTTTCTATTCTTTCCTTCCTTTGATCATGCAAAAGTCTTTGCATCCACTACATGAGCCCAAGAATTCCTTTCTTGATCCAGAAGCAAATTCACATCCTTGTTCAGACTTTCCTGTTTTACTCTACAAAGCACACAGCTGTTAGGCAAAGCTCCTTGATTTTAATGACAATTACTACTTCTTCTGTATAGAAGGAATTGAAATTGATTATTTTTTTCTCAAAATAATACCTTTATGGTCCTTCTTTGACAGAAAGGGGCTTTAGACAGAAATCTTCGATGCAGATAAAAACATCCTCTGAAGTTTAGGAACTCAGTTCCTGAGGGTGTTGTGTTCAGTTACTAACAAAAGCAAATAAATGTGTTCTCTAGTGAGTAACAGTCTTTGTAAAAGTCCATTGAAGCCAGTGGGAGATGCCCTGTTAATTTTCAGCAAGCATAACCAGTACGCATTGCTATTCAGCTTGTATAAGGCCTTCCGTTAGGAAATCTAACATAGCACTTTGTTCCTAGATTGAAACCATGAGTAAAATAAAGTACAAAATAAAGGAGAATGATCACACTATACAAGAAGTCGGGGTTTTCTCCTCTTGTTTTGTTTCTCTTTTGCTCCAAGTTCAGGATTATAAAATGCTTATATGTCCTTTTCATCTGAGATAGATCTGTCCTTGACCACCTCAGTGGGGAGCCATTCCAAGAGTACCTGAACAGCATGTACTTCGACAGGTTTCTCCAGTGGAAGTGGTTGGAAAGGTAAGTGTCACAAGTTGTTTGGCGCTTTTTTCCTATGAAAAATGAATACAAAATACTGTAGTGATAGGACAAGAGGTAACGAGTTAAACAGGGGAAGTTTAGATTGGATATAAGGAGGAAATTCTTTCCTGTGAGGGTGGTGAGGCACTGGAATGGGTTGCCCAGGGAGGTTCTGAATGCTCCATCCCTGGCACTGTTCAAGGCCAGGTTGGACGAAGCCTTGGGTGAGATGGTTTAGTGTGAGGTGTCCCTGCCATGGCAGGAGGGCTGGAACTGGATGATCTTAAGGTCCTTTCCAACCCTAACTATTCTATGATTCTAGTCTGTTATAAAAGGTTTATTTTTCACTTTCCATTCAAAGCACATAGAGCATGCTCAAAATCTGACAGCTGAGATGGTATGTTTGCTCCCTTTGCCTTCAAGATAAGGACAGTTTGGCCTTTCTTCAGCATTACCAATGCCTCGTCCTAATGTTTGCCATTTATGGCCCTCTTTTGAAGCAATTCTCTCCCTGTTTTCACTGTTCTCCTTCAGGATGGTCTGTCAAGACTCATTCACCATTTCCCTGAGCTATACTCCAGGGAAGCTTTCCCAGAGAGTTCCAGGAAGGCTTTCCTAATTTTAGCATTTGGTTTTAAGTGTTCATTGTTAGAAGGTTCAAGAAGAGATAATGGCTTTAGCCACAGGAAGATGTCATATAAGAAAGTCATGGTTATGTTGGTGTTAGACTCAATTTAACCATGAGCTGAGTCTCCAGCTGTGACCATCCAATGAGCATGATCGGTGCCAAGGATATGAGTGTGCCTGGACCCAGAAATGCTCTTCAGCCTCTCCCTTCTCTCTTTAAGGAATCTTGTGATCTGAGAAATGTCTGTGGCCAATTTCTCTGTAGGTCCTGTCACCGTGAGCTACTTATAGGCAGATTGAAGGACACATTAAACATTTTTCATAACCTATCCCTTGTGCATCTGTAATGCTAAACTTAAGATACACATCCAGTCTCTGGCTTTTGCATTTGCAAACACTGTGCCCAGGCAAGACTGAAACAGATGCTGCTCGCCAGGGAACCAAAGAATAAGCCAGAAACCTACCCCAAAACACAAGGGGGGCAGTTTTGGCTTCTAAAGCTCAAGTGTTTGCTCATTTTAATGCTGTCAGCTACATTAGGCACATCAAGATTACAGTACATTCAGCAACTTCAGTTGTCTTTCTGTTTAGCTGTGCTCTGAATATGGGGACTTATTTGCTTGGACCAGTTATCATTATTATTAAATCACTGTAAACAGACAAAAATGCATCATATAGGTCCTCACACCGTATTTATTGGCTAGACATTTCTGAGCACATTTAATAACCAGGCAGCCTTAGTGGGTGTTAATTTGCAAGGGAAAGGGCCTTTGCCTGCTCCTTGTTGGGAGGGCTGTAGCAGACGCACACTGCGGGGTAGCAGTGACCTTGAGTTGAGAGAAGCCCCAGGTTCCACAAATGGAATTAATTATGGCAGATGAGTTAGGGCCAGGTCTGTGAGTGGTGTGTATCAGCGTGGTGCCTTGGAGATCAAAGGAGCTGTGCCAGTTCCTCTCCCTGGAAAGCTGCAAAGCTGCTGCACAAGAGGGAAAGGGAAGCGGTGGGCAGAGGGGAGAGCCGTTTCATGCCAAGACATGCTCCACATGCCATCTTTACTGAATCCAGCATTCACTCTTCCATTTCAATTACAAAAACATCAGATGATTCATCCTTAGCCAGGCTATTTCCTATCTACTTTCACATTTGGGATAAGGAATTTGCTGAAATGCTTTGAGGATTATTACTTTTTCCATTCCCCCAACAAGTGTGACAAGCTATCGGATATGCCTGGCTTAAGAAGCTGGGAGAACTGTTTCTAGGATTAGCAAAGAGCTGTTAGTAGCTCCTTCTGACAGCCTGCTGGCTCCAATGGAGGAGTCATACAGTCCATTTATTCCAGAGACATTGCTGAGCATGTAGTTATCACTGCTAATTGTTGCTTTTAACCCCAATAGCATTTGCAGTATCCTCACAGAAGCCTGAAAATAGCATCTCTCTCTCTTCTAGTTTTGGCCTTCTGCGTGTTTTTCTTCCCCTACTTTTAAAAACAATAATGAGCATAAATGAAACGATTCACTTTAGCATTTATTCCTTATTGTCATCAACCTCATCACCGCTGTTGTGGGAACAGCCACATTATTGTGCTCCCTCTGCCGGCTGGCTGCCCGCCAGAGGGAACCAGAGCTGGTAGGGATATCCATATCAGCCACTAATGTAATCGTAAGGCTTCAGTGGTGGAATGGTGGGGCTATTCTTCTGTCACATTATAAAGCTTTTGTGGTAACAAAGTGTAAGTTAGATGTAGGGCTGGAGCCATTTTGGTAAGGCAGGATTTTGTGGGAACCTTGTTAGGTCGTATCGTTGGTGTCCAGTGAATGTTAGGGGGCACTCTGCCCTCAGAAGGAAAGACTTATTTAACCCTTGATTCATCCCTTTAAAGGAAAGAGATGCTTTTCCTTCCTTCTCACCCATGGGGCTTTACCAGGAGGCAAGTATCCCAGGCAGGGAAGGACTGGCTTGGAGCTTGGCTTCCTGCTCTCCCCTCCTGAGAATGGCACTTAAGCCCACCTCTCTGTTCCCTGGGATTGTTTCTTTCCTTGTTTCACATAATTTTCCCGTTTTCTTTAAGGTCAAGACATCAGAAATCTTTTCTGGTGGATTGAATTCTGGATCTCTTTTACTTCCCCATCCCTGGCAGTGTTCAAGGCCAGATCGGATGGGGCTTGGAGCAACCTGCTCTAGTAGAAGGTGCCCCTGCACATGGCAGGGGGTTGGAACTGGATGGGCTTTAAGGTCCTCCAAACCCAAACCATTCTAAGGTTCTATGACCTTGAAGACCAAGCAAAGTCATAAAGTGTTAGCCTGTCCTATGCCTCATGAGAATTAATATGTTATTGGAAGCTCCCAGGCCTCCTCTTTGCTTAACAAAGGCCAAACCCATATCATGGAGATACAGAACCCTCCTTGGTCCTAAGATGCTTGCAGAAATTATACTGATGACTCACTAATGTGTTGTATTTTATTACAGCTTAATATGTTGGAATTGAAAAGTTCAAGCCATACATAGCATTGAAGTAATGGAATTACATAATTATATATTATATTCTATAACAGGATTACCCTGAAACAATATGATTATCTAATATTTATGTCTGTTGCTTTTTCAAAGTATTCTCTGAAATAAATAAATCACGGAGAGTGCATTAAATGTGTTGTCTTCTTCTTTTTTTCTGTATTTCCTTTTCTTCCAGGCAACCAGTAACAAAAAACACATTTCGGCAGTACAGGGTACTGGGGAAAGGCGGCTTTGGGGAGGTGAGTAGGTCTGAAAGCTTCTCCTAAAGAGTGTTTCTTACTTCTCAGGCACTGCAGGCCACAGCAGCCTGATGTGACAGAGGGTGATTTTCATTAAGTGCCAACAGCTTTACTTAACCTCTCGTGACAAGAGGCAGTGGGTTCAGACTGAAACAGGGGAAGTTTAGATTGGATCTAAGGAAGAAGTTCTTTACTGTGAGGGTGGTGAGGCACTGGAATGGGTTGCCCAAAGAAGTGGTAAATGCCCCATCCCTGGTAATGTTCAAGGCCAGTTTGGACAGAGCCTTGGGTGACATGGTCTAGTGTGGGGTGTCCCTGCCCATGGCAGGGGTTGAAACTTGATGATCTTAAGGTCCTTTCCAACCTGACTATTCTATGATTCTATGACACTGTCATCCCAAAAGAACGCTTTTGAGAATTATTCCTTATTGGACTAACAGTGGAATGAGGGGCACACCCTTATTTGTGTGCTAACTGATGGCTGGGCAGCGAGAGTCAGAGGAGGGGTGGACAGGCTTTACTGAGCAGATTGCAATCAGCGCAGACAAAAGGAGGTGGGATAGGAAGCAGGCGGAGGAAAGTGGAATAATGAAACCAATATTACACAGCAGGTTTGGAAACAGTAGTCGGTTCCCCAGCTGCCCCCGCCTGTGCCTTATTCGCTGCGCCGCCGTCTCTAACCTTAAAAGGACTCGCTGGGATCAGCTCATGAGGAGTAAAGTGCAACCCAGACGCAGCGTTTGCTTCGAATTACCCAGCAATTGTTCTCTTTAATTCGCAGGTCTGCGCTTGCCAAGTGCGAGCGACAGGGAAGATGTACGCCTGCAAGAGGTTAGAGAAGAAGAGAATAAAGAAGAGGAAAGGCGAATCCATGGCACTAAATGAAAAACAGATTTTGGAAAAAGTCAATAGTCAGTTTGTAGTGAGTATTGAACCCCTCGGTGCTCAGCTCCCTGCTCACCTGCTGAGCACTGCTCTTGTTGAACCCAAGGCCTCCTCCAACAGTGAAGGTGCCAGAAGCTGATTCCTTTTGCTTTGCACCTTCATCCTGCTCCATGCACCTTTGCCAAGTCTCATTTTAGTCTCAGTCTGTGCGAAATGCACCAACCAAGGTGCCTGTTCCTGCCATGGGAATGATGCATTTTGCAGCCTTGACTTGCATCAGGGCTGCATCAGCTGAGCTATTTTTATCCAGTGTGATTACCTGAATTCCCAGCGTCTGGGAGAGAGGAGCTTGGAGGAGACTGAAGGATATTCGAACCAAACAGATGAGAAGAGATTGGCTAGTAACCAGTGACGTGGAGCTGGTCTCTGATGTAGGGCTTTCCTGGCTCATGCCAGCTCTTGTGCCTCTTTAAAAACTTGCCTTAGATTAAAAAGAAAGGTGTTTTTCTCTCAGCATCTGTCGTGTTCTTTATGCTTATTTTAGGAAACACTGTGAAAACAACAGATGCAAGATGTTTATTTACCTCTGGCAGAAGCAAAGATGATGGCACGTACTTAAACATGATGGGTAGCTTTTGGCTTGTCTGGTCGTTCGTGGGGCACCTACCAGAGCAGGATGATGCTGACCTTCATGCCTCAGTGATGGTCCATTTGACCACCACAGGACCAGCCTGTCAGGGCCTTCCTGGGAACCTACTGAGATGATAGTTTTTGGACAGCTACCCAGCAAAACAGTGCAGCAGGAGGTGTAGATTCCCTTGGTTATTAAGATCTCTCTTACATGGAAAAGTATGCCTGGAATTAATACGTTTGTCCAGTTTATGAAGCTATCTGAGCATTAACCATGAGGGTTTCTGATGATGAATAGGCTGGATTCAACGAATTAATCTATAAAGTCCTAACATCTGATTTTTCTGTCCTTCCAAAATGTATGTTTGCTGTTGCAATAAGCCCCAATTCAAATTCAGTTTCTTTTTTTTTCCTTTTCTGGAGGATGTCTTTAATGAGAAGTTAGTGCTTTCTTCTCAGCAGCTAAATGAACTGTCACAACTATGCTACAAATGTTTTTCTAGGTCAATTTAGCCTATGCCTATGAAACAAAGGATGCATTGTGTTTAGTTCTGACCATTATGAATGGAGGTGACCTGAAGTTTCATATCTACAACATGGGAAACCCAGGCTTTGAGGAGGAAAGAGCTTTGTTTTATGCAGCAGAGATTCTTTGTGGCTTAGAAGACCTACACAGAGAAAATACTGTATACAGGTAAGCACTCTATTTAAAGTCTTGTGGGATATCTTTTATGGGTAAAAAAGAACTGCTTGCATCTTCCCTACTCGTTGTGGTGCTATAAAGCTTAGATACCTCAGTGCTGGGGCTGAAATTTCACAGGGTACAAATTCAGATGATTCAGTAATCATGGAAGGAAGCAGTTGCTTCAGTAATGCATCCTGTCTAAATTGCAGAGCTAACACAAAGCTCCCCAAACCCCACCTCAGTGTGCACTGAATAACGTAAGAAAATCATGAGCGTTCCTATAAAGGGATTTCATTGAGGACTCTAGTTTGTAGTTGATATGAAAGGGAGGTCATGCTATTCAAGCTTCTGTTTTAATTAGCTGGATTTTATTGCATTAGGAGCCACAGCCCATCAGATGTGGAAAAGCCATGTCCTGTCCCAGAGGGAGCACAATTAGCACAAGAGGGGGTTTGAGACACAGGGCAGGGATTCACGCTCTAGGACATGAACAAGCTTGATTAGCTGCATGATGATGGTGACCATGGCATGCCAGCTGTGGAAGGAGGCACACTTACAGCCACGCAATGGAGATGTCCTGCTGGCAGCATCCCACCCGCTGCGGGAGCAGCCAGCGGGCAGAGCACTGCCCGGAGCGGTGACAGCTTCGAGAAGGACAAATGTCAACTTCTCAGCTTCCAGTCTGGCTTCCAGCTCTATACAAGCCTTTTTCCAGGGCATCACATGGTTTACTTGCTGGAAAAGCAGGGTGGTTGCAGACAGAGTTCTTGTGACTCCATGAGGATTTATATTTTCCTAATCAAAGACCAGTGGAGTTGTAAACAGCACTGAATGTTTGCCTTCATCATCCCAGCTTGTGAAATCATTACTGCTGGCATTCACAGCAGAAGAGGGCCTGTAGATTGATACAAGAACTTCCAAGGGGAATGATTAACAATGATATGTTATTTTCAAGAACCAAGCCGCACTTTAAATCATTTGATATGCCCATGTGTAATAAGCATTATGTATATGCTTGTATACATAGAAATTACAATATTGTTGTTCCTTGGAGGAGATCTGTAGAAAACTGCTGCTTGGTTGCCTCATTGTGACTCAGATCTTGCTAGCTGGCATAAGGAGAGCAGACAGATAACATGCTGACTGTGTTGGTGCTGGCCCAAGAAGGACACATTTTTTTCCCAAGGAACAAAATGGAATTAAGTGTTTAATGTCAATTGAAAAATCAAATAACAAATGGTGTGTCTGGCTTCCCTCTTCTTTAAAAACCATCCTACCACATTCAGAAAAGTTTTAGGAGGCATTATAGTGTTTCTTTAAGAAGTTCTAGATCACAAGCGTGCTTTATTGTTGAAAATGACTGGTACATTCATAACCTGGCTGGTGAAATGCCATACTAACGCTGCTTTCTAATCAAGCAAATCAGATCTGGCCACCTAAAATAGGAGGTGACTCTTAGCGAAGTGGCATCCTACTTCCTTAAGCAATTGTTTTCATGTTACTCTTGAAAGAGTTGCTAGTTTACACCTCAGATGCCACATTCATTTTGGTGATGATTGGTGTTATATCCTTGTAGGTGACATTTTCCAGCAGTATTCTGGGAGCATCTGCAGAGACCCCTAATTCATAATACCACAGCATGTTTTGGGACCAGTGAGAAGTGCTGTATAGGTTAATAAAATATAGCAGCTAAATGTTACCACTTTCTCGAGGTGAATAATTCATTGCAAAACACTTATTCCTCCAACTTAATTTCATTTTCTATGAGCAAAATGCTACTGACTAAATCACAGCATCGGAAAACACATCCCCACCTCACGGGCCGGTGACGCACACTGTGGATGTGACCCGAGAGAACAACCAGGCTCAGAGTTAGATTTACCTGATGCAGATTTCCCTTTGCCAAATGAGGTGCATTGGTGACATTTCTCAACTGCATCACATTGGTAAAGGTCAATGGGTCGATTGTTCATGGAATGCAAACATAAAAAGCTAATGGCTCTTTTGAAATTGTTATTATATATAATGATATATATTATATATGATGATATATAATATATTTTATATCATTGGATGAATATATACATGTATTTTATATCATTATATTAATGTTGTTATATTACACACAATGTTTATATATAACATGATATATATATTTATATATAAATTATATATACACATATGTGCTATAGCTGTGCTTGGAAGCTTGAGTCAGCGTCAAGGCCACATTGTCCTGGGCATTACACAAATATACAGTAAAGTCTTGTCCACCTTGATTAATTGAGTTGTTCATGCTGTCCTATACAACCAAATAATATGCTATCAGCTTTCTAGCATGGGCACAGTGCTGGCAGTTTGTGTTGCAGTGTATTTAGGCTAGACTAGTTTACATATGGGAAGCTGTATCATTGGGAAGTAGCCTTACGTGTAACTGTGTCTACCAGGGAGTTTTATTTCTCTTGCACATTTCATACAAGAATCACATTTCTCCTTGGCATTTGGAAGTGTTGGCCATGCAAAGGAAGCCAGCCTTGATGCTGGGGAACCAAAAATCTGAAAACAGAAATGACAACTGATGTCTGGGGGGGAAGGCAAGCCTGCTTTAATTGGCCACAGTTACAGCTTGAAGTGGGACTAATAACTGCTGGAGCAGAAGATGAAGTAACTAATGAAGTCTCAGTTCTTCAAGGAAATAGTTCTTGAGGGATTTGGAATAAATCCTTGAAAATAAATAGGAAATGCCCTCCACTGTGTTGCTCCAGCACTGGAAACCTTCTGATAGGCAGGGAAAGCCACAGCATTCGGCTGCCCTTCACATGTTTCAGTATTGTTTATTTGAAAAGTAGGCTTGGTACCAGTGGGTATTCGGCGAGGTTTATCTTGAGAGGTCAAGAGGGTCTGGAGCAAGCAAGAAGAGAGGATTGTTCCCATTCTTTATGTTCTTGCTTGAAATAATAAATAAAAGCGAGGCAAGTTTTGAAATTTCAATCTCAGCATTGTGAAAACTGTAAAACATCCCCCTCCATTCATGGGGAAATCCAAGACACCGGAGTGGAACAGCTTGAACCTCAGGGCGGGCTCCTGCACAGGCTCTGTGCAGTGCACTGACCTCCTGGTGTGAGGGTTTCTCTTGTAGAGCCCCCTCTCTTTGCTCTTTGAAAAGAAATGCGTCTTGCTGGGAAGCTAACAGAATCAAGCTGGTTCACAAATGCAAGGAGGCCTTAGAAAAAGACGAGGCCAAGCACTTCTTGGATTTGCACCAGGCTAAACGCTGTGTTTCAGTAGGAATCGACCAGATAAAAGTCAGGGCATGATGTTGTGAATTGCAGCAATACATTTTTGCCTGCCTCACTCAGCAGTGCTGGTGCCTTATTCAGGCTCCTCAGCCAGCACAGCTTGCTCCCATCACACGTCCCTTCTGGGATGCTCCCTGCCCAGCACATCCCTGTCTTCCCTCCAGCACCTCCAGCTCCCATCTCCCAGGCTGGCTTCATTCCTGCTCTGTGTTAAAAGAAGGCTGTGCCTCGTCCCTACTTAGCAGCATGGGGAAGGTGGGCTGCATCTTCCCAGCAGCCAGCAGCACCAAGGAATGGTAGCGCCAGCTGCAATGTTGTGCTCACCTCCATAGGCACAGAAACAAGCCTCAGTCAAGTGAGGGGACTTGAGCATGGCTGGTCCAGGCAGCATCTAGAAGGAGCAACTGGTGAAGTGGGTTTGGTGCAGACAAACCTTTCAGAAGAATGAAGGTTCTGTCAAGGCTCTGCTAAATACATGAAAACTGAGATTACATTTTTCAGACATCTATAACTTGGCCAGATTTGGGAATTCATTTTTTCACAAGCAATGAAAGGCACATCCTTGACATCGGAGTGACCGCCTTGCCAATTTTCATGGTGTTGTTCCAGAGCACACAGGCACTGGTGTTTCACTGGAGTTTGTAAGAAGAATCTTAACGTGGGCACAGCGTTCTCTTCTTTGCCCTTCATTTTCCAAACTCGATAAAATTATTACACATGTGCACAAGTGCATGTACACGCATTCACTGATTTGGTTTGAGTCAGATGCCAGGCATAGAAAATTTGAGCCCAAGATATTGCTCTTTCCATTTTCATATGCAAATACAAGATTTTAATACATTTTTAACAAAAGATTTTATAATACAAAATGTGACAGAGATTTAACAACACACAGGACTGCATGAGTTGGTTTACAGGGCTTACAGGACTGGATGCATGAGTCCATTATAGAGTGGATTAGGAACTAAAAGCTTGGCTTAGTGAAAAAATGTCACTCTGGTTTAGAAAAAAAACATATGGTTTCAGTCTATCTGTGAAGTGAGTTGTAGAAAGTTGCATTGGTTTCATGAGTTCCTTGCTGTTTGAGTTGACAGTCAATTGGTTTATTACTAGTAATAAATGCACTCACACACTGTCGGATGGTTACGTTATCAAAACCAGCCTCATACCAGTAAGTGCTCTCTTTCATTTTCAGAGATTTGAAGCCAGAAAATATCCTGCTAGATGATTATGGTAAGTCTCAGAGGTTTACAGGGATGCTTTCATATTAAAGTAGATTAAGTTGGGTTTAAGATATATACTGTACAAAGACAAATAATGCTCTGAAGTGACTAAGAGGCTCAGCACATGCTAATACTGCTGTCTTGGGTGGGTGCAGTGCTGGAGCTCACTGCATGGATGGAAGGAAGCAGGGTTTGTTCTCAGAGCACAGCTTTGCTGGAGGTGTCTGCCTTCGTTCATTGTTGTTCCATCCTTACTGTTGCAAGGCTGACACCACACAAAGGAAGTTGTAATTTCTAAATCTGTGCTTCCCACTCCGTTTACAGAAGTTCTTTCATCCTCTGCTGAGCCAGCTCTCGGTTTATGCAGACCCAGGTACCCATTTGCTCTGAAGGGAGCGGTAATTGAATTTCATGATGACTTACAGACCAGATGTAGCCCCTTCAGCCATCAAAGAGCTACAGAATTATGTCAGCCCATCCATTCCCTGTGATCAGTTCAAGACACTTCCCTCCAGACTGCTTCCCATTGCCTTTTTTCTGTTGTTGGTTTTAAAATACCTAACACAATCCACTCTAGTCTGTAGCCTCACGGTTAAAATTCATTTCACTGCATTGTAATTCCCTTAATCATTCCTCCTGTCCTTATCAATGAAACTGCTCCAATTCAGCAACTGAAAACACTCTTTTCTTAAAATGTCTGAAAAGTTAATTGCAAGGGTATTGTAGCAATAATAACAGTTGTAGTTTTGGCCTAATTTGGGTCATATGTCTACTTTATGTTGTTTTGTTTCTTTTTTCCTTCCAGGCCATATTAGAATATCTGATTTGGGTCTAGCTGTTAAAATCCCTGAGGGTGAATCAATCCGTGGAAGAGTAGGAACAGTAGGGTATATGGGTAAGTCTTTAGTAGTTCATCTTTTTGTTAATTTGCTGAAATTACTTGAGTTTTGGAGATCTTTCTGCCATGTAAAAGATTCGCATTCAGCTGTGTCTGGGTTGCTAGACAGCAACCCACCAAGAGTCATGTGAGTGGAAATCGGAAGTGGGGAAAAGGATGGACCACAGCAGCTCTTAAATGAGACGGGTCTATAATCTTAAATCAGCAAAGAAAGTAAAAAAGGGAGATAGCAACTGAGATTATAGTGGTTGTGCTGTAGTTTTATTTTAGGAGGACTATGTGCTAAAATGGAGGTTTATTCATAGTTGTTTTGTATAATAGTTAAAGTGTACGTTTATTATAATATGGGTAAGTCTGCTCCTATGGTCATCTTGACCAAGGTCATCTAGAGTCTTCCCCTACATGCAGGAGAGGCTGTGAGAAGGAAGATTAGAGATGTGTACATTGGTAAAAACCACACTCAAGTAGATCTGGTTTCTAACATTCAACGCAATTATTTGCATTCATTCTGTGGGTGGGCATATTTCTTGGAATAAAAATTGTTTATGCTTATTTGACTAAATGGAAACTAGCTGATATGAGCCACTGTTGCAGCATATGGAGACTTGAATGAAAGCAGCAAATCAGTTGTCATCGCCAACTTTTGTTATCTCAGCTTAAGTTTGTGTGCACACTAAGACTCTGTGCTTGTGAGCACATGGGTATTTGTGCGTACAGAAGTGAGGGTGCCTGCAACACAGTGCCTGTAGAGCCAAAGCACGCTGGATGGTTGCAACACAGAATAAATGGACTTGTTTTTTGAATGGGGAAAAAATAAGTTGTAAATTAACCAAAAAGAGAGAACTTGATTTTGAAGAAGTGTCACTGTTGTTTACAGGATGTGTGTTTGCATGTCATTCCTTCCCTAAATGGAGAAATCTGGAAGGAATCTTAAGATTAGGCTTCTACTTAATACTTTGCTTGAACTTCTTTATTGTTGTTTTAATTGGTCTGACTTAGTGGACAAGTCAGAAGACAGCATGCACATGGCATGGAGCATGGAGAGAAAAAACCATGGCATGTAGCATGCTGCATTTTCTGTAATGCCATCAACAGCAACCACTCTCTGTGCATGTGTAGTCCATCACCAGAAAAGAACTTATAGAAATGTAAGGGTTTTTTGCCTGTGTGGATATCAAGCATTTCCACAGGAGACATCTTTCTTCTCCACAGCTCCTGAAGTGTTGAACAACCAGAGATACACACTCAGCCCTGACTACTGGGGGCTAGGCTGTCTCATTTATGAAATGATTGCTGGGCAATCACCATTCCGTGGGAGAAAAGAGAAGGTGAAGAGGGAAGAAGTGGACAGGAGAGTGCTGGAGACAGAAGAGGTGTACTCCCATAAGTTTTCTGAGGAGGCCAAGTCCATCTGTAAAATGGTAAGGGGCTTGAAGGCCCAGTGTGGCAGCTTCATTAGCAAGCTGTATCTGACAGTCTGAGCGGTAACACAGCACCATAGATGGGCTGCAGAGACAAGGACTAATGAAGCTCATCTGTTGATGGGATGATTGCATTCTCTATTCATTCAAATTGTGTTTATTTGGGCTTGCTTCTCCATGAGATGCATCACGGCCATCTTGAGTCCTCTCCAAAGGTTTATGGTCAAGGGAGCGGTATCTATTCTCGTGAGACTTTGAATGTTAGTTTGCAGTCAAGAATGCTTTTCTGTCTTTTATAATCTTGGAGAAAAAAAATAAAAAGGACTTGATGATGCAAGGCTCTGACTGTCTCCTGCAAGGAACTGAAAACCCCATGCTTCCATTGTCTTCGGTGGGAGCTGGGGGTAAGCAGGACGAAGATTATGCAATGAAATTATTGTGACACTCAAATGTTGTCCCACCCCATCTCACTAACTTTTTAGCAGCTTTTCCCCCGGGGTGCCAGGGTATCCAGCTTTTTTAATACTGTTGAGCTGTCCTTTAAAATGTTTTCTCACTCTTTCAGCTGGGAGTCATTTTCGTAGCACAATAGCCATGTCTGACAATGGAAATCCTCAAACCCTCTGAGAACTCTCAAAGCTGTGTCTGAACTCATCAATGTCTTGTCAACAGCCATCTTCAGAAGGCTGCATTGTAATTTGGGAAGGGATGTGGCCTTTTTCTTAATGTTGTTTGCTAAAGAGTGAAGTCTCCTTTGGAGACAATGACATATCTGTGTATGCTGTTAGGGAGAGACTGAAGGGAAAGAAAGGTCAACAAATAGGTAGTGAGAGTTTCACCAGTATCTTGTGCAACAGGCAAGCAAACTGCAGATCAACAACATTGCTGGTTGGCTGGCTTCACAAAAAGACACTGAAGTCTCCTTGCAAAATAATAATGGTAGCATTGCCAAGTATCATGCCTGGAAGTCATTAACTCACAGGGCACCAACTTAGTGCTGAATCCCCAGGGTAGTAATTAACTGACATCACTCTTGATAGATACTCTAGGCCATTCACTGCCCTTAATCGGCGATGCAGAGCCCCCACTGAAATCAGTGTGGGAGGATCTAGGAGAGCCACAGGCTCTTACAGACCTCTGCATGTGCTCGAACAGCTTGCTATTGCTGTTCTAGTAGCATCTCAGCTCCCACCAGGTGAGGAACAGCATCTGATGGAGTGGCAGAGTTTGTGCGTGTCCTGTTGTTAGCATGAAATGAAAATGTTGTGAGGCAAAAATTACACTCCTTTTGCTTGTTCTGTAATTAATTGCAGGCATGAAGCATTATAAAATGAAAGTATACTTTGAAAATAACCAACTTAAAGCTCAGAAGAATTAAATGTAGCATTGATGGGATAGTGCTGGAGATGACCCAGCACTCTGAAGGGAGTAGACATTGAAAGTCATTATGCTACGGTGGTCATTTTCATCTTCAAGCCATAAAGCCCTGGTTTCTGGGAGTCAGGGACCTCAGGAAGTTGTCTAGTTCAGTCCCTTGCCTCAGGGAAGCATGAACTATCTGTAAATCATTCCTGACAACTTGATCATTACTGCTTCACCGTCCAATCATGTGGCATATTTATTTATTGTGGTTTTCCATCCAGAAGTCATTTATCAAAAGATAGCTTTAAAAATCATGATTCAAATAAATTTTCTCAAGTTCTCTTTGCTCTTTATATTGAAAAAAAACAGAACTTTGTTCCTTTGTACCAGCATCTTAACAAGGAATCAAAAAAGTAATCATTAAGTACCCATTATATTTGCGAAATGAAGCATAAAGTTGCAATACATAAATCTATCTTGAGCCTTCACAAAGATCCAACACAAAAGGCTTTCCCATAGTGAACTCTTCAGGGCAGGAGTAAGGAACAGCATGTTTTCCACCATGTTGCCTAACCTTCTCTTCAAAGCTTTCTCTATAAGCTAATAGCATCGCCACTAGGAAATGTATTGTCTTTATTCCTTTAGTCATATGAAAACCCTTTTAGTGTCACCCCATGTCAGCCTTCCTAGCCTGGATGGTTATGCCCTTTGCATTTTTGCAAGCGCGTATCATAGCTCCCATTAATCATCATCCATCCTGTATTTCTATGTTTCATTCTGTAAGTAATTTCCCATAAATCAGACCTCATTTTGGACTGAAACAGAGATGAATAATAAATAATTAGGAACAGGGGCAGCTGGCTTTCTGGGAAGCTCCCCAACCCATAGTTCCCATATAACATAACTGCTTCATGGTGTGTTTTTTCTGTGAAAAAATCCAATCTTTCTAGGAAATGCTCCCTGTTTATTGTTGTTGTGTCTTCTACTTCACTGATGTATGTGTGTGTTTTCCCTGACAAGTGCAGTCTTGCATCCAAAGATGTGACTTGAAGTGCATTCAAGTCAACAGTATTGGATGGGCCCATGCTGCTGTGTTCTTCTGTCACTCTTTCAGTGTCCTGTTTGTCTGTTTTCTGCATACTGTCTTCTCTGATGCCTTTAATTCCTGCATCTCCTATTTTACTCCACAAAAGTGATCTCTGATAGGAGGGTGCAAAGAAGACACAGCCAAACTCTTCGTCTGGTGTGCAGTGACAGAACAGGAGGCCATGGGCACAAACTGAAACACGTGAGGGTCCCTCTGAACATCAGGAAACACTTTTCCATGGTGAAGGTAGTCAAATACTGGAACAGGTTGGAACTAGATGGACTAGATGGACTAAGGTCCTTTACAACCCTATTCTATGATTCTAAGTTGTCCAGAGAGGCTGTGGCGTCTCCACACTTGGAGGTATCCAAACCCCAACTGGACACGGCCTTGAGGACCGTGCTCTTGGTGACTCTGCTTTGAACAGAGAGATTTGACTAGGCATCTCCAGAGGCACCTTCCAGCCTCAGCTCTTCTGTGATTCTGATCTCCATTCCCTCCCCAAAGTGCCTCCTCAGCCAGCCTGAAGATGATGGATTCTTTTTTCCCTAAATGCAATGTTTTCTCTTCCTCACCACCAGAAGCTCTTTCATCATGTGCTGCTCCTCCTGCTTTCATCCCTGGAAACCAACTGGTTCACACATTATAACACCTTCAGGTTTATCAGCACTGCCTGAGAATAACTGTCCTTTCATCTGTCTTGAGAGGCACCTCACACACATCAAGGTGGTCTTCAAATGATTATCACTGCTATTGTTATTGCTAATTATAATAATAACCCTGAGCAGTAAGCCTTTGCAATAAGATTGTCACCCATACCTGAGAGTTTTGACTTTTCAGTTGGCCAGATTGGGCTGTGATTTCATAAGCATAAGCAGTGCAATATACAGCCATTCTGGCATCTTCAGTTCCCACACCACTGTCTTGTCTCATCTGGTAACTGAGAGATGAGCATGGAACTTTTCTGTTCACTAAAATATGTTAAAAATAGTATGCTTACTTCTTTTTAAAGGTTGACATTTAACTGGTGATCCCTTAGACTATTTGATCATCTGGGTCAATGGAAGTGGTTTTACAATTCCCCTTCTCTCCTTTCATGAGCAGAAGTGTTTTGCACCCTTACCCTAGAAAACATTTCCCTTATTTCTATAATATTAAGACTAACATCTTTGGACTTGGAGTTATTTGTTACATGGTATGATCTGGATATGAACTGACTGATCACGTGAAGATAAATAAAGCAGCACTTTGGGGACTGTTGGCTGTTTTTAGCCATCCTCACAACAGTTGTTTGTGTTTGTAAAGGAAGCAAAACAAAGTTGTGGAAAAAATAGTCTCAGACATTGCAGAGTTTGAATCCCCAGAGGGGAACAAATGAGTGACATGAAACTAGAAGAGAGTTCTTCGTACCAGGAGAGAAGATCTTCATGTAACTTCACTGCTGCTACTCAAGACTTCTCTTTGAAAGTCCCATTCTAGTCATGCTTTGCCCATAACTCTGTAGACTGAATCCTGCCCTCGTTTACACGACTTCAGTGTCATTTGGAGCCTTTGTTACCAGAACATAAAGCTCTGCTGCTTGGTATCAACTTCATGCATGGTTGGATGCCATGAGCCATCTTCAGATGTGCAGCTCTGTGAGTTCCCATAGGCTTTGGCGGGGTCTTACATTTGTTTGGGGCATTCGCACTGCAGTCCCAAGAGGGCTTGTCATCAGCCTGGTGTAGTTGGTTTTGTTCTGCTCTTTATTCATATTCAATACATCCTTTTAAATGGTATTAAACAAAAGTGTAGAGGTGACTCCAGACATACTGGTGTTATCTCAGTTTTCCTTTCCTGAGCAGATTCCCAAATGGGATGCATATTTCAGGCTATTACGCAGGTTTACTATTGCAGAAGGCTGCTGGGGCTGCAGGAAATGGTTCAAGACTCATTATTCCTTGAAGAAAGGAAGAACTATTTCTTTGGGATTCTAGTCCTTGCTATCTCTTGGTCTCATTAACAGAAGCCAGGAGAAGTGTCTGGTTTCACCTGTTGCCATCTCTGGGGCTGTCTGCAGCTACAACTGAACAAATTCCATTAATTTCTTACTTTCTCCTCCACTGGGACTCCTCAAGAGGCAGGCACTGCTCCCCAGCAGCAGGGCTTTGCAGGAGAATCGTCTCCTTTCTGTGATCTTTCAGTCCCAGCCTGTTCCCAGCGGCCTGCTTCCTTTTGTGTCTTTCAGCCACCCATGACCAACTGCATTCATGCTCCAGAGACTTCCATCTTGCAGCTGAGGTTACTGAATATTCCCTTGTTTATCATGGAGGAGCCCAAGAACCCCCAGACTGCCTTTTTCTATCCTCAACTACACTCTTGTCTGACCACAAATTCCAACTTCTAACATTCACAGTCTGGCAAGGGTAAATTCCCAGATTACCCTCGTCTTCCCAGTTAATCCAGAGGCAGGAGAATTACTGGCTGCACAGATGGATGGTAAAGTCACCCCTCTTCTTCCCTTCACAGATGACTTGTAAAACAGAAACTCAGAGGTCTCCTCTATCATCTACAGGCAAGTCCAGATCTACCCCTTTCTACTACAACCTGCTCCTCAACATCACCGTTCCCAAAAGCTTCAGGGTATCACTTCCAAAAGTGATGCCTTTTACTATCCAAGTCAGAGAGATGGGTAGTAAAAGTGGTTCTTCTGCTTTCGGATTCTTCTTTTCACCTGTCAGGAAAGTCTTCTCAACATGAGAATAGCAGATCAAAAGAACTTCTGTCTTCTCTGCCCATTCACAACAGAGGAAACCAGATCCTGACTGGGAATTCCAAAGTGATCTTCTTCACATAGTCTAAATCCATATGCCTGTTGGGATTAAAAAGAAACAAAACAAACCCAAACCCTCTAAAGTCCCGCAACAAGAAACCTTGCATCAACACCACGAGAGCTTGAAGTCTCATGTAAGGATTTGAAAGCAAAACATCCCTCTTTTCTGGGAAAGTAAGCTTGAGGGAACTGCCCAAGAAAGGTCTTTTCCTATCAGCTGGATAAGTATGGTGCTGTATCCCATGAACCTATGTGCTCAGAGAATAGAAAGGCATAGAGATGTTCCTTCAAGTCTTAGTCATGGTGACCACTCAGAGCAGATGTCACCACCTAGACCGCAGCAGAAGAAACTGTGAGGAATAAAGGGATGTTGCTATCTGGAAACTGGAAGTTGCTGTTATAGCCAGAACCATTCGCTTTTGGCCCGTCCCTCAATCCATACAGTCTCCTCTGGCTATTGCTGCTGCTACTGCTGAGGCAGAAAGAGCTGAGCAGAAAACTCTCATGTCCCACAGATCCCTTCATCACCTCTTCTGGCCGCTTGGCCTCTGCCACTGCAGCTAGCTCGGGACTGGCTGGACAGTGACCAAGGCACACATGGGGCACACTGATTGCCAAAGCCGTTTGCTGTCTCAGGCTGGAAATGAGGCCCCTAGCAACAAAAATGCAGAACTGAGGAGGCTGTGGAAGCCCGATAAGAAACCCACTGATGCCCAGGGGGTGGCAGAGCATCCAGAGAAGCCTAAAGAGCTGTGACCCCGTAAACCCATGATAAGGACAAGAAAGCTTCGGCTTTAGCCAGACACCAGAGGAAAACTCACCAACCTCACATTACCAACAAGCAGTTGTTGCAAGGTTTCTCCTCATTGAGATGGTGTGGCTGAGAGCAGCAAAGCCAGAGGGTACTGAGGCATGTCCTGAGCTGGGAAGCTTGAAAACAATCCTTGGCAGGGAAGGTGCCTGGCTCCCCGCTCCCAGCCTCCTGCAGCGCGGCACCTGATTGTCCATCTCCTGCAACACTTCTTTCCCTCTGCCACCCTCCCAGAGCTATTTGCCTCCTGCTTTCCTAATTGAGCCCCAGCCAGGTGCTGCATGGTACAGCTCCATGTGCTCACTGCCCTGGCTGTCAGGTACCCTGGTAAGATCCCTAGGGATTTATCCAGGGGGGCTCCCATGGGCTCAGAGGAACAAGACGAGGGAACAGCCTTAAGCTGCACCGGCGGAGGTTTAGACTGGGTATTAGGAGCAAGTTCATCACCAGAAGGGTTGTTAGACATTGGAACAGGCTGCCCAGGGAAGTGGTGGAATCATTGCCCCTGGAAGTGTTCAAAACCATGTAGATGAGGCCCTCAGTGCCATGTGTTACTGGTGGCCTTGAAAGTGCTGGGGTAACAGTTGGACTTGATGATCTTAAAGGTCTTTTCCCACCGAGTTGATTCCATGATTCTATAATGCAAACCACCCCATGATCCTGCATAGACGTGGAAGGCATTCCCAGCGAGTTTTGCTGATCCTTTCAGTGCCATTGGTCTGCACATCCCACCTGCGAAGGCAGTGAAGGCAGATCGCTGCTTTTAAGCTCCGGGTCGGAGCAGCAGAGGGGCAGACGGAACAGGAGGTGTGGCGTGACCCTTCCGTGCGTCCCAGGGAGGAGCCCACACACAGCCCCCACCGCGCTCCATCCCCGGGGGAACCGAACGCCTCGCTGCCCCCGGCCCTGCCCGGCCTCCGCCCCGCCCCGCCCGGACACCGCCCCGGCCCCGCCGCGCTGCCCGCTGGCTCTGCCCTTTCCTCTGCTGCCCCCCGGCGGCCCCCGGGCGCTCTGCAGCCGCGCTCCCTCCGCCGGGCCGAGCCGGGCATCCTCGCCCGCCCCGCTGCCTGCCCCTGCCCCTGCCCCTGCCCAGCGGTGGTGGGGGGGCTGGGGGTGTCTGCCTGAAGCGTGCCCGGCTCCAGGGGGGATACCTTGCCTATGGGAAAGGGCTGGTGTTGTCTCCTCCGTGATGGGCAGTGTAAGCGTCTCTCTCCACAAGTGGAGACCCCAGCAAAGCCACCCTGACTGGTTTCAATGCGTGTTTAGTTTTCTGTTGCACCAAGGCAGATGTCATCCATCTCTTTAACCAGCAGTTGAAATCTCTGTGCACATCATGGTGAGTCCGCAGTTGTATTTTCCCTCCTCTAAGAGAGCATCTTGCAGGGTTCCTCAAAGAGCATAGAACAGTTTGGGTTGGAAGGGACCTTCAGCAGTCATCTAGTCAATGATGAGTGGATGGGGAAAAAATAGAAACAGATTTATGAATCTTTACTTTTCAGCATTGCCTGAAGTCAGGGATACACTTAGAAATGTCCCTGTCCAGGTGATGATGGTTTTGTACCAGTTATGCATGCTGAGTTCTGCCTCTCTTCAGTTGTTTAGGTGGGGTCTCTTAAGACACTGGTTTAGCCTCCTTGATTCTTTGTATATTATTTGTAAGAAGACGATATATTAGTCTACATGTTCTGTCTCCTCAGCCAGCAGTGTGTGTCCAATGAAATGTTCCCTTGCAGATCAATTAGTCCATCCACACAAGGTCTTCTGGGACATACATCCGTGTGTTTGTGTTCATGGACATGCTTATCTAACAGCCCAAGGATGCTGAGTTCAGTCAGTGTCCATTGCTCCATTACAGGTACCAAGGGAACAGGCAGGAATTGCTGTAGTGGGCAGAGGTGGTGCATTGGCCTTCTCTGAAAACAAACAACACTGATGGTTACCAGTGCCGGCTCCATGGACAAAACTCCCCTTGAGTTCAGCTGAAATAAGCCCATGATTGGTTCACTGTGACGTGTAATGTAGTAGAATATACTGCAATGGGTGGAGGGAAATGTGATTCCATGGTGAAGGCATTCAGCCTAAGCAACATGAGAAAATTACACTTAGTAACAGGAGGAAAACACAACTAAGAAGCACACAGGATTCATGAAATATGCCCCTATATATGTTATTAGGGTATGTCAGACCTCTTCTTGAAAGTGTTCACTGAAAGTCAGCAGAAGCAACAGTCTCTATTTTGACTGTAAACACTTTACAGCAGGTAATTTTCAAAGGGTTTCACCAGCACATAGAACAGTGCACCCCTAATCCATTTCACTTGGCCCATTAAGGAACAGCAGTGACAATTCCCTTCTGTGCTTCCCTCTGGGCACATCCAAAACCAACTGGAGATGAAAATATCCTTGTGGAGTTCTTGCGTTTCTGACATCCTCTCCATTCCTCTTGGTGTGTTTCAGCTCCTCGCCAAGGATGTGAAGCAGCGGCTAGGATGTCAAGGGGAAGGCGCAGCAGAAGTGAAGAGGCACCCCTTTTTCAAGAGCATGAATTTCAAGCGGTTAGAAGCAGGAATGCTGGATCCTCCCTTTGTCCCTGATGTGAGTACAATAGGAAGAACACCCAGTGGCCTCTTGCAAGAGATTTGTTTCTAAAGTATCTTCTGTCTCTGAGAGCTGTCATCACTCTCTGCATCGATAGCTGCCCTGGGAAGATGTGATAAGTGGTAGGGCTGGAGTGGCGAGGCTGGGAGGAAGAGGAGAGCTGACTGTAGACTTGTGTGTGCAGGGTGGGTGGGCTTACATACAGGGTGGTAACCTGGGAGTTGATTCATTTCCCACTCACTTTACCACAGTCTTCCTGTGTGATGCTGGAGACACCACTTGATCTCTTTGTGCCTCAATTCCCAAACTTTAAACTGGGAACCTTTGTATCCCCATGTCCACGGCAGTATTGTAAGGACCAGGTGGTGCTTGGAACAACCATCAACGAAAGTCACACGTCTGCATACGGATAGATGGATATATATGCTGGAGTGAAGCTAAGTCCAAAGCTCTATGGAACTGAGGGATGGACTGGATCATCCTAAAAACAGGCATTAGTTGAAGAGTCTGAACCAGGTTCAGTTATCAAGTGTCACCTCAAGCAGAGGCGTTAGCTTGGACTTGAGACAGCATTTTGAACTTGTTAGTGCTCATGGGGCATGGAACCCAACACTGGGTCCTTACTCAAGTTTTCACACCCATCTTGCACATACTAAAGTCTTTGTTGCATTGGCAATGACAAAACCTTTTCCACTGTTTTGTGGTGTCGGTCTCTACCCCAGGGCAGAGTTATCTGATCATTTTCCTCCTGCAGGGCTCTCTTTCTGGCTGGATCTTCTATCTTTAAAGTTCCCATATGGTTCTAAGTAAACACTGCCATTTTAACATATTAAGGAAAGTATCATCTTGGCAGCTCTCATTCACGTTGCTGCAAACTCCACCAAACCAAAGTGGTTTGAACACTACAGAAGTTTACTTTAGCTGCTCTGGTTTTGCTTTACATTTTACTATGCGGCCTAGTTATTCCTGCCAATTAGCCCGTGGTGTTACGACCTGCTTTAGTGGGAAGAAATAGGAGACAAGCTACTATTTCTTTCTGATGTAGAAAATGAGAAAATCCTGGGCTTGAATTTGGGATCCGCCAGAGCGTACTAAAAGCTTAACTGTGGCATGTAAGGCCCAGGAGGCACCTCTGATAGACATATTTGCTAAAGCAGAGGCACATAAATTTTTATGGCTATTTATTGGGAACTCAAGAGCTGCTCCTAATTTAATTTATTTGGCACTTCATCCATACATTTCCAAGTCTTTACTGAAGTCAGCTGAATCACCCAAAGCTATCTAGCCAATGGCAGGGGTTGTAATCCAACCCACGTCTCTCCATCCTCTTCTAGACTACTCTGTCTCCACAAAAATGTTGTGGATTGCAGCCATCAGGAATGCAGAAGGATGCAGCCTCCAGCAAATAAGACTTCTATCAGGAATCAGCTTGATTTGTTTGGTCACACTGCTCAGATCTAGATAAAACACTGCATGGTTGGACCCCTGGGCTGTGCAGTCATGGTGCCGTGTATAGACAGTAGGATCCAATACGTGTTTGAGTTCAGCAGGTCAAGCTAGTCCCACAAGCCACCCCTCAATTACTCCTACGCATCAAAGGATAACTGTGTTGTTGATGGGAACTCTCTAGGCACGCAGATGACCACACTATGACAGGTGATGACTATTTCTGCTTTCTGTGGCTGACTGCTGGAACAGGAGCTACAAGCAGCGTCACTGCAAAGAGTCCACTCTCTGTCATCACACGTAATTAAGTAGTTTAAAAAGGCAAAGCCATTTGAGTGTTTGTTTGAAGAAATGCAGCCCAGTTGAAGGAGCTGATAGAGGTGATTCTGGACAGCTTCCAGCAGCTGAGCTATTAATGAAAACAATGGAAAAATGCCAAACCTCTTCTGTTTTCTTTAGCAATTAGTATACATTCCTCTAAACTTCTAAGCTGCAAACTCCACAGCTATCTGAGCAGAGGGAGCACTCCTATTTGAGTTCCCTTTTCAGAGCTGTGTTCAGTGTGTCGCTCATGAGCATACTGCTTTCCTGTAGGAGCCATTTGTCAATAGAGAGGGAGCTGACTACCCGAAGAGACTACTACTGGTACTACTACTAGAAAAGACTACTGAAGGACCTGATTTTTGTTTTCTTGCTCTTCCTGTTCTTTTCCCTCACCTCTTAACCATATGCTACATGGATGACTAAAACCCACTTTGGCTTTGCTGATGCTTTTAAGGATGCTTATGGGAAGCTTAACATGCTTAAAGTGAAGCCAGCCTTTGATGGAAACCATGCGGGCAGAGTGGGTCTAGAGGAGCAGGACGCAAATAGTCACTTATTGTTAGGCATTCTCACTTGACTGAATCTGTGAATGAAAGCACATGCTCAGACTCAGAAATATCTTTTCTCTTGCTGTCTCTCTGTGTTTCCTCTTTGTGCTGATAGCCCAGAGCAGTATACTGCAAGGATGTGTTAGACATCGAGCAATTCTCCACAGTGAAAGGAGTTAACCTGGACCAAACAGATGATGATTTCTATTCCAAGTTTTCCACAGGATCAGTGTCTATTCCATGGCAAAATGAGGTAAGGATGTATCATAGTAAAATCACTCCAGTAAAACCCCTAACACAGATGGTTTAAGAGGAGCTGTGTATTTCCATTAATACATAGCTACTGGATAACTTGCCAGACTCTAATGCTTTCATAAGTTACAAATGGCCTCTTTCAAGATCTGTAATGTACCACAGATGTCAGGTTCAGGTGACTGCATCTGTTGGCTCTGCATTGTGTAAGTTGGCAAGGATCCTACTGTACTTCCTTCTCCTGGGTTTCAACAACAGCTCTCAGGAACTTCTGTGGGCTGGCTGGAAGTCCTAATGGCTCCAGCATTGGTGATCCTGATCTCACCCTTTGTCTTGTACCTGCAGCACATCCCAGCTGCTGCAGTTGTCTCTGGACCTTCAACTGCTGCAGGGTTTCCAGATCTGGGGTTTTGTTTCTGTTTGATATCAAAACATAGCCAACAGTTGATTTCATAATCCAGCCCTGGATCAAACAGCAGATCCACTTAGCCAGAGGGGTGCTCATAGCTGGGGATTTGTGAGTATTCCTGTCTTTACCCAATGTTCTTCACAGGCCTGAAGAAAAGAACAGAAAGCTTTATGGGGCAGCTTCTAATAAGGCTGATGTGCAAACATGCAGAGCAGACTCAGCCTCTCCTTTTCATACATCCTATTTGCCTTGTATAGCCAAGAGCAGGAGTTCACCTGTTAACTCTCCTATCGTATCGCTCAAGCTGCTGCTCCTGATCCTGACTTTGAACAACCTGGCCCTAATGCAATATATTTAATGCAGATGTATAACTTCTTTATTTCTTATCGTTTCCCACTAGATGATAGAAACAGAGTGTTTCAAAGAACTGAATGTATTTGGACCAAATGGTACTATTTCACCAGACCTAAACAAAAGCTACCCCCCAGAGCCACCCAAGAAAGGATTGCTACAGAGAATATTTAAACGACAGGTAAGATCTTCCATGACTAAGACATGGAAAATTCCATAGATGCCCAGTTCACAGGTGGTACTTCATGCTGCATATCCCACATTTCCCATCTACCTCTTGATATTTTTTCCCCAGCAGAAGTTCCAGTGTTGTTCCCGAGCTTTGTTTCCAGCAGTTGAGAACTTCTTTCTTACCCAATCTATTTTTCAGTAGTATACTGAAATGCCTTTTGAAATGGTTATATGGTTTTAATAAGTTCTTTGTGAAAGTCCTAGATTTATGTCTTTAAAGAAGAGCAAAGGCATATTTTGAGTGCATGAGTCATGGCAGGAAACCAAGATACTAGAGAAGAGAGCAGACCAGATACTATGTGATGTACAGCTTTCATGAAGCACCACTTTCAAATCTAAGTAACGTTCCCAGACCAATCTGTTTCTGTAGGGTTAAAACCATACCTGAGCATTGGCATGTGTCCTCTGTGTTAGTCAGATTTAGTAGGTCCTGATGTTTTGCAATGAATTGATTTGACTCCTGGAGCTCTAGTGAGTCGTCTTTGCTGGATTCCTCAAGAACTGCCACGGTCCTCCAGACTTAGAGAGAATATGGGTAAGAAGGTGAAGAATATTTTACACCCAAAGGTCTTCAAACAAAAATCTTGCAGTCCAGTCAGTTATGTTATCACCCTAAAATGAACAGCGTTAGACTAAAAGAAAGACTGGCATATTTGGGGAATCTAATTGTCATTGCCTTCCTCTTTCTACAGCATCAGAACAATTCAAAGAGTTCTTCAAATTCAAAGGCCAGCTTAAATCACCACATAAATTCAAATCACGTAAGTTCAAACTCCACCGGAAGCAGCTAGTTCCGATTCAGTTTTATGAAACAACATGTTGCATCCTTCCACTATAATCTTATGGCGCTTCTGTGGATGAGAGAGCCTCCACCATCGAGTGAAAAAGAAAAAGGATCTCCCAAAAAGGAGATTTTCTATCCATTCCTTCCAGTGGAGCCTCGCATTTTAAGAAGAATTTTCCACTCAGGTCTGTTTTTGGAGGTGGCACTCAAGACTGTGTGAATCAAATTTGTCTCTTTAGAACATTGCAATAGAAATTCAATGAACATGACTACTTGCACGTATTTAACTAGCATCATACTAGAACTGAATTTTGTCTTTATTATTTTTAAAGGAAAGTTTTGTAAATTTCTCTATTGTCTCAGTTTACATTTTGTACATTTGTATTTAAATGAAAGTCAGACTTTGGAGGTGTATATTTTCCAAGCAGCAGCTGTAAAGCCATGTGTTTTAAGACATTTTTTTAAGAGAAAAAAACAAAACACAACAATGTGACTCAAGACTTCCAGAGCCTCAAACGAGAAATCATTCTTTTTAGTAATTCTAGAGAATTCTTCATAAATCATTTTATCAGACTGGGGTTTATTGACACGCATTTGTATGGAACAGTTTATGCTTAATTATTTTACATCTGTATATTTGGTTTACAGCAACACTGCATCAAACATTTCTCCTCTTCATTAGTTTGTAACATCTCGCATTAAATGCTAAAAGACAAGATTTTGATGCATTCAAGAATGCTACTTGCTACGCCTAAGTTTTGGGATGTCATGGGACCAGCACAGCTGAGATTTGCACTTCCTGATGTTGTCAGCTCATCAAAAACGGTTTCGTTAGAAAGGGAAGCCTATTTTAAGCCCTTCTGCTTCACTAGTTTTTGTGCTGTTTCTAACAACAGCATGAAGAAAACCGAGTGAGAGGTGACCAGGAAAGCAAATGACCGATTGTTTCTCAAGGACTCGGAACCTGCCCCTGCTGAAATGAGAGCAAACCAGAAGCGTTCTCCATGCTGCAGTCAAAAGTCCAAGGCCTTTCCGCAGCTGCTCATATCAAACAGGTAGCAAGAGAGAAATTCAATAGAGGAATTCAATGACCAAGAGATTCATGACAGCTTTCTAAAGCTGTGGGAGTTCAGGGTGGGATCTGATCTGCTTTTGAGCAGTAACAGAACCTAGAGGTTGCATCTGCACTTAGAGTACTTCCATGTGTCATGCCAAACACACCTCAGTTAGGTCCTCAACTCAGTTGGACAGTATGTCAGTCATGAAACAGTAGCTCCCACTTTTGGTTCCATCATTCTTTCTCCATCATTCTTTTTAACCATTGATGAAAACATTGTTCACACTAATATAAACAGGGTCTGGCAGGATCAGCAGTAGTACCTCAGGCATCAGAATCATGCTTGTCTCTAGGGTGTCACTATCTATAATTATTAAGAACACCAAATCGGAAATATGGCTACTTCCCTTCAACAGGAATTGGAAAACCTTTGTTCCCCCAAGTACAGACAGCATCTCTATAGCCCAACATGTTCTGTAAAACACGTTGGCTCAATATGCTCTTTACAGTGTTGTCTAGAGTATACTGATGATTCTACACCTTTGGGTCATCAGGAACACCTGAGGGTCAGCCTGGTGTGTCTAAAACCCTCTTAGTTAGTAGGGCAGCTATCCCAGGGTACAAGGAAGCACTGTTCCAGTGGAAGTTTCAATAGCCAAAAGTCATTAGACTATCATGTATATGTTCTATCCATCTGGCCAATGCAGGGGGGAAAAGGATGCAGGTTAGTAGGGGCAAATGTCAGAGTGAGAAAGACACAGGAATTACATACCAAACCAGCTTGACCTCATGACGGATAGACACAGAACAGAGGCAGGATTTATATTACAGAGCTGACAAAGAAAAGTCAAGAAAAGGAGATGAGGCTTCTGTACCTTTATCAGGGGTAAAGTACATGAAGGTGCAAGTCCACATCATTTCAAAAGCCTCCAGTTTTCCTGGTTACTAGTAAACATGTAGTGAAGCTGTGTAAGTGTGCCATAGTATCACCAAGAAGTTGTTCTTCTTCCTGCAGATCAGTGTGGTCCAGAAATTCCTTTTCCCTGTATTGGTGGTGCTCAGGGAGTGTTTCAGCCACTCTCCCATCTCAGATGATGGCATTGCAGAGCTTATGGAAGATGCAAGATTTTAGAGAGACAGTAACTGATGAGAATTTTGTGCAATTTTATCTGTCTGTATCAGCTATAAAGGAAGGGAATGAAATATTGTAGAGGTGAAAGCCACTATACACAGAGAGGGCTAATACCTCCGGTTCTGTTCTCACGGCCCGACATAAAGCTATGTAGGTCAACAGGAATCTGATCAGTCACTTGAGCACGCTCTGGTTGAAGACATACTTGCTCTGGGAGGTTTTCACAGGCCCTCTTTAACGACATGTGGGATTTCACCTTATTTCAAGAAACGTAGGTGAGAAGTGGAGGAACAGATCTTTGCCAGACAACTGATGTGTATCAGTGTACCTGGAGCAAGACACACATCTTAGTTCTTCTTAGTTAGGGATCTGCAAACGTTGTGCAACATTTCACTCTAAGACATCACCTTCTGATAACAGTATGGTATACAATGTGATCGCTTACCCTCAGCTGATTTCATCCTCTACACTGATGTCAAAGGATGAGGATGGTAGATGGGGCGTATAGTGAAAGACTAAGCTCTGTTTTCCACTTCTGCTTTGCAGCAACAGACAAGTATATTCCCCATCAGAAAAATGTGGCTGATAATACCTACCACCATGTGGAAGGGAAGATGGTTGGGGGAAGGCTTAGCCCATTAATATTTCATTGGGTAAATCTGATGGAACAGCAGCTATTGGCCCAATCTCCTGTGTTACCAATTTAGCATAGGAAGACTAAATTTTCTCTACCATGTCCCACTTGAGAAATAAAATCCTAATAACAACAAACACTTTACTGAAAGCTGGTGAGCTAATTGCAAACATTGATTGTAGATGGCCTCATAACTCTTGGATGCTGTCAGCCTTAACTAGCAGTGGATGACTTTTTAATGACAACAGTGAATGATAGCGTATGTGCCTTCTCCTGCTCTCCTTTCAGCTGGGACAGTTCCTTACTCAGCACCTCTAGAACTCTAGCACTGCGATGCAAAGGTGATGAGAGCTGCATTCATTGAGTCCTGATGCTTGGAGGACGTTATGCTAGGGTTAGATATCCTGAATCCTCGAGGTGGTATGAAACAAAGATGCTTATGCGCACCTGAACGGTCAAGCCTGGGATGAAGTCCCCCTGGATCCCAGTTCCTTGGGAGCAGTGAGATAGAAAACAAGACCAGTTGAGGGAGATTTTGTGCTGCATCCATAACGTGTTTCTATCCTGTCTGAAAAACAGGATTAGGATGCTGAGGCAGCAGAACTGTTGTACTCTTTCTGTCTCCAAGCCCTGAAAGATTCAATCAATATCATACATCACTAGTGATAATGAAGTTCTAGGAATGTCCTAGCCAGGGTCTGCCTGCAACAACAAAACCCGTAGAATTTTCTTTTATTGCTTCTTTCTCCTGTTTTTTTGCATTCTTATTCAGCTTTGCCCTCAAGACTGGCGTAGGACCACAGTCCTCCCCTTCCACTGTGTGACCAGGTGCAATCTGAGCCCAGAACTCGGGGCTGAAGCCCTGCGAAGGCAGTGCCCTGCACAGCCAGGCTTCCACAGACACTTGGCATTTGCCTCTGTGGAGCCAAATGTAGAAAACCCTGGGAGCCGTGGGTGTTCAGGGGCTTTGGGAGAAAACACCTTACGGTTTCATCCTACATCCTTGGAGAGCACTTGGGGTTTCTGGTATTCTGCTTCCAAGTGACTAGGTTCTGATGTGGGTTTGCACATAACAAAGGAGCAGAAAGGAGTAGTTCTTTAATAGCTTATTAATAGACTGATTCATTTTCTATATCTCCTTTCCAATTACAATGCAAATTCTTCCCCCAAAAATGCACACATTCCCATCTGGTTGCTTGTTTTAAATAAACAGATGAGCAAACTTTGCTCTTGCTAAGAACCAGAAATCTTCTGCTATCTGATCCTGAGCTGTGCAAGCACGGGTTTTGTGTTTAAATTGTTACTGAGTGGTCTGATGAACACTAACTAGTGAACAGGCTTTGATGACTCAGATGCTTGCTATTAATTTTCCACAGTGTCTCAAGGTTCGCTTAAGTCTTGTAGATTTTTTTCCTTCTCTCTGGATGGATGAGAGACTTTTTTAAACAAAGGGATAATGAAGGGGAAAATGCCAAACTCTTAGTGTGCACTTTTGACCTGGATTACCTAAAAAGAGATTTCTTTTACAAGAATGGCCATGACTCAGTCTTGTTTCTGATCAAAGCCCTCCTTGTGAAGCTTGGAAAGGTGTGAAGATAATCAAACCAAACACGTACTGAAGATCAAACTGAGCGTTAGGGAGCTGCAGAACTCAATATCACAGCGCTCATCTGGCCCTGCTGATTAGAGTTGCACAGTAACTGCAGTTCAGGGACAATATCAGCTATCTGTGAAAACAGTGTGATACCATCTCAATTTGTAGCCATCCCCTGCCCCAGAAACTACAGCTAAGAGTGCCATCAGCAGCTGGGAATCAAGCTTGGCTGACCCAATAAAGCATCTGATTTGAAGACACTGATTCTTAGTGTTCAACCAGGCCTCAAGATCCACCTTCAATTCTTTGCTTCAGCTGTCAAAGCCTCATGTTTCCAATCCAGTTCCTGTTGATCTTTTTTGGTAGAGATGCCTCAGCTAAAAAGACAACCATGAAACCAGTCTGTAATAGTAATAAAACGATGGGCAGGACAAGGAAGACAGACAAGCTGTTTGCTCCGGAGGACAGTGTGAAACTACCATAATGTGTGTATCATCTTCAGCACATGTCCCGTGGCGGTTGTTATCACACATTGCTGCACATTTATCCTTGTCCATTGTATGTTGCTCACAGGCTCTTTTGAGTAACCTGGAAATTGCACACACTAGTTCATGTTAAGCATAGGGTCTGGCCCATGGCTCAAAGACAGCATTGTCTCTATGAGGGTCGGATGGAACAGCTTGACAAAGCAAGTGGGTACCCACTCAGCCTGCATGAACTGCCGTCACCCAGGTCACTGTTCCCATCTATCTGAGCCTCAGTCAGAATTCCCTATGTAGGCTTTTCTGGAAGAGCAATAAATGCACACGCTTATAGCACAGCTGCTTCTTCTTTCAGACATCCACGGGACAGGTTCCTGCAGGACCTGACTTCATTGTGGACAAGGTATGGGTGTTTTAACCTCTGCTCCACAGCTAGCTGTGATGTTTTTTCCTATTTGTGTTTGTAATACTCACTTGTAAAGTCTCTCAGTGAGGAGGAGATCATTCATCAGGCATTTTGAGGCATTTCCCATGCAATCCTTGGAAAAAGAACATCCTTGGGTTAGTCTTCCCTTTGGGATGTAGACTCTCTTCTTTCATTTGTGTAGCATGAAGCATAAGGTAGCCTGCAGGAGCTCTAGAAGTCCAGACTTGAAGGCTCTCCCACCTAAGGATGGTCCTAGTCTGTCTCAGGCTACAGGGAAGTACATTTGGCAGTGAAGTTTGGGAGAATGGGTACGTTCAGTGGCTCCATGGAAAACAGAAGATTATGGAGTTGCCTGTCTCAAGCCTCTCACAAGTATGACCTGCGATGTAAAA